TTTCACGCAGCCCTAAAACCCCTAGGGAGCCTGCTAGAAGCTCTTAATTACTTGGTGTTAATGCCCGTAACAACACTTGTCATCGAGAACCTTGTAGCTCATAACTCAGGGTTTTAGCTTAGCAACCTATGTAAATATGCCTTCGCGAAAGTTCCGCGTTGGTTTTGTTAAAGTTAATTTTTTTCCGTGAAGAAGGACATTCCGGGATGAAGCAATTTGATCAACAACCATACAAATAAGTAAATTAAAAAAAAAATAAATAAATAAATAAATATATATATATATTCTGTTCAGTTCTATTATATCATATTGTGTGTTGCATTATGTTATCGTGCTGGTTGTATTGCAATCTGTTCCTTTTATTGCACCACGTTGCAACACCCGAGGCCAGGATGTGGGCAGCGATTCTTGGGCGCGTCTCCCGAGAGGCTACCGGCTTCGCTGCTTTGCAGAGGCCGCGAAGGGCCCTATTCGCATTTCCTTTCAGGTTGCTATAAGGATTTGTTTTAAGTTCTATGAAAGTTCTATACAGGTTCTATAAAGGTGCTATCGGAGTTCTACAAAGGTTCAACAAGGGGTATGCTGCAGCCATAAGGTTTCTATAGTAGTTTGCAATGATGTTCCTTTATTAGTCCTTGTACTAGTTCAACTACAGGGTAATTTGGCATAATACAGACGTTACTGAGGTTGTTCCCCTTTTCTCCCTTATGGCAACTGTAGTACAACACAGCCCTAACAACACGTAGTAGTGTTCCGCCACAGTAGCTGCAGCATATCATGCCCCGAAATACTGTGCAGATTATTGAGGCATATTGAGGCCCCTGCCTTACTCGCAGATTTTGGGGAAGGGTTCTCTCCCCTTTGCTGCGCAGATCCTCGGGTTCCGTGCTCGGCTGCCGGACCTGGAGGGTGGTGGCTGGGTGCCTCGGCAAGAATTTGGGTAGAACTCTCTCTTGTCTTACAGACTTACAGGTCACAGGCGTAGCAAAGTGGGATAGAAAGGCTTGAGCCTGTTGCATGACACGGGGAGTGGGCAGGTTTCAGGTAGCTCCGAGTTCTTGCTTCTGAGGTAAGCCTCTGCACTCCGCAGGCAGGGGTTCGGGTCAAGACAGGGGTCCCGTCCCGTCCGTTTCGGCACAGGGCTTTCCTCACTTCCGCAAGCAGCCGAGCATGGCTCCGGAGATCGAACTGCCCGAGGAGGCGCTTTGACACCGCAGAAGAAGAGGAAGCGAGCGAGCGAGCGCGAGCAGGTGGGCAGCTCCAAGAGCTCGTCTCGACGTAAAGGCCGGGGGCAGTATAATGAAAGGGAGAGGCTCTGAGAACTCGCAGCTTGGCTTGCAGGAGGTACCATACCAATTGTGTGGCCTGGTATCGGTGTCTTATGGCGACTTGGCTGTGAGAGGGTCGCCGCACATGCCACTTCGCCTGGAAATGGGAAGTGAGGCCGGAGCCCGTACCAGTTCCTGTGCCGAAGCCACAACCCAAGGCCAGAAAGGGCTCTTGAAAGCCGCATGTGAGCATCTCCAACATGACATGTTCCGATTCAACTCCGACCTTCAGACCTTGCCGGAGCTGCTGTCCTCTATGGTGTCCGGGAGGGCTTTATGTGACTGGCAGAGGATGGCCTTGCCGCCCTACCAGGAGTCTGCTGGACTTTTCAGTGTCAAGTTCTTGACACTGAATGGCAGACTGAAGTCTTTTGTCAAGGAGATGGTCTGGAAGAATCGGCATGCGCCTTCGATCACTCGCTTGCACGAGCTGCTGAGGTGGGTTAAGAAGACTCCACGTCTTCGCTTGTCCATCTGAATTGTTTCCGCGTGGCTGCTCGGAGTTGCTGTGACGCGTGGATACTCGTGGTGTGACATCCCAGCACATCTTGCCTCAGCATGCCTTCAGCAATGCGATTGCGTGCAGGTTAAAAATCTGGAAACCTGCTGTGGTCGAGGCGGAGTATGCGCACATCCGCGAAGCAGAGGAGCCTTTGAGAGCCTACAGCCTCCAGCCTGGCAGTGCAGAGCCCTTCAAGCTCCATTTCGCATGAAGGACGAGCGCAGTCGGCGCATTGTGTCCATGAGCCTTGAAAGAATTGGTAAGAGACTGTCTTGAACGAGACAGGCAACCCTGTCTCTGTTTTTCGGAGTTCGTGGAGTTTGGAACCCGGGTTTCAGGCCCCTGGGCTCCTTGGTCATCACGCAGTGGGTCTCCCCGAGCGGCTCCGTGCGGGTCGTGGTGGCCACGGAGGAAGATGACCCAAGCCCAGGCCAGTCCCTTTAAACAGGGAAAAAATCTGCATCTTTTCTTAAAGAGACTCGGCTTTGCAAAGCAAGGCCTGGGCTGGACGGATCTCGGGGGCGCCGACGGAGCAGCCCTGACTCTGCTCACGGAGGCCTCAGCCCTCCTCTACTCTCGTCACTCTCGTCTCGAATAGGCCCTAGTAACCTAGTAGGCTCGATCGATTCGGGAATTTTTTCGCCCTGGCGAGCAGGGGACAGACTTCTGGGTGGAGCCTCAAGGAGGCCACATTGCTGAAGAGGACCAGCAGGACCGGCCTCGGCGTTGCTTTGTAATCTCGGGTCTCCAGCCTAGAAAAAAGCGCGGGCTCGTGCTTGGATCCCACGAGGTTTACGATCCCTAAGTCACTAAGCTTTCAAGCCAGGATTTTACTCGAGAGGATTGCACGGGATGGGCCTGATTCCCCGTGTCCAGGATGAAAGTGAATGGCATCCGACAAAGACCCTTGGAAGCAGCCTGTGCGAAGAGCTGCAACAGCTCTCCCGAAGTCCGAAGTGGTCGATAGAATTGCGAGTGAAGTTTGTGCCCTCCAAGGATGCAACTCCGTGAAACGAAAGATCCGGAGAGCCAAGTAGTCGGAAATTTGCAGCGCGGGGACGTGGCACCTTATCGACAAAGATGAAAGTCAGCATAGTTCTGCGACTACCTCCTTGTAGACGGAAGTCCTATTGTCGGCACAGGTGCAGATAGCTGAGATAGACGGCCGCTTGGGGCGCGTGGTGCGGATCAAAGCCATCGAAGAGACAGACTCGGAAGCAGTAGGACGGCCAAGTAAGTAGTTTCATGAGCCAGCATGCCGCATTGTGGGAATGGTACTGATACTGCATTTTCCTGCTTCCAGGAGGGTGGATGGAGCTCTACACGGAACCTGGCTGGTCTTGCTTGAGGCATTGACGCCGCATGCTTGAGCTTTGAAACGCAGCTGGCACCTGACTCTGTGCGTCGCTTGCATCACAGGAAGCGATTCCTCGGCCAAGTACACCCGGAGGAAGTCAGGCACTCCAGATCCAAGCGAAGTTTGTTGTGGAAACCACCTTTACTATGCAATAGCCAGTGTGCCAAGCCCGTGCCGAATCGGCAGGGAAACAGGGAAGGCAGTGCATCTTGATGACGACGATGATGATGATCATCATCATCAGGAGGAGGAGGAGGAGGAGGGGGGAGGCGGAGGAGGCGGAGGTGCTGAGGTGTTGTTGTCAACATGAACAGGAACGACATGCGGAGACTAGCACATACTGGTTTGCATCTGACGAGTTTACAGGAGGCTGAGTTAAAGCTGCGGTCATTGGCTTGAGAGACGGAGTATGTGCCATGAGGAACTGCCATGGTCGGTGATAGGGTGCTCTGTGCGACCGCTTACCTTAGCCATCCTTGTTGTGATCGATGTACCGAAAGAGCAGAGCACCTGCGACATGACAGGCGTCTGGATCAGCAACAGAAAGCATCGAAGGTCGAAGAGCAGCTGTCCAAGGACCTTCGTTCGATGGCAGTGGCAGAAACGGGCTTGTGCTGTAGCATTTCTCACAAAGGGTTGCGAGGAGCGGACTTAATGGATCAAACTTGACATCGCCTGAAGTTGTCAATAGAAGCAAGGGAAGAGCTCTGTAGCAGCTGTTACCACCTCACAGCATCATGATGCGGTATAAAGCCAGGCTCAACATGGCTATCAGGAGACTATATCGCGACCCTCCAAGGTGCCGGTCGCTGAGGCCGGTCATGCCGGTCTATGTGCAGAAAGACACCTGAAGCAGAGCAATGCACAGCGGCCGAACCAAGTGAGTCGCATCAGGAATCTGAAGTGTGATGTGTGACCGGAGCTGACAGGATGACGAGGAAGACGAGCTGGCGGAGTTGCCAGCCTTGCAGCTTGGCGGCAAACGCGCTTGTGCGGATTCGGAACAAACAGGAACTTGCTTCTGCACGCACGGCAGACGGCTTGTTTGAATTCAAGTCGCGCACGAGGTTAAAAGAACTGGGCGAGTTGGAGGCCTTTGCATCTGTTCCGAGCAAAAGCCTCACAGTGTGCGGTTGGCCGGAGTAACAATGCCGTCTGTGGGGGATTCCCAACGAACAGAAGGAGTTGTTGCCTGACCTGCCCAGTGCTGCGCTCTAGGCGAAGAGCATCTACACGCGCGATTGGCGGGAGGCCATCGATCCAGTGTGGGGACGCCGTTACTTCGTGAATCGATGGTCAGGCAGGGCCGTGAAAGAGATCCTACTGTTCCCAGGGTTGCAAGCTTGCCGAGCTCAGGCCAAGTGATCCACCACTTGGTTCGGTATGGTGTGGCGGAGGCAGCCGTGAAGCTTACCATTCACTTCACGAACTTGTCCTTGCACTCTGCGCCGAGCCTGCAGAAAGAGGTAACGGATAGAAGGTACGTTGCCAAGCAAGCAGCAAGCGCAGAATCCCAACAGCTGATATCTCCCCTTTTGCCTAAATCCAGAAGGCTCAATCCCCAAAACATGCTCAACTGCTCGTAGATTGCACACCGCTGTCCACTAGTTGCACTTCGCCTCATGTCTTGCAAGCTCAGTGTCAGTGCTCTGCCAAGGGCTCAAAGGGAAGTCTCAGCAAGCGCGAGCATCTAAGGACGGCCTTGCACGTTGATGGCTCAGCACAGCCTGGAAGAATGTCCAGTTGCCCAAACAAACTTCCCTAAACCCCAACCCCTAACCCCAAACCCCTAAACCCCAAAACCCTAAACTCCTTGAAACCCCTTAAACCCCAAACCCAAAAAGTCCAAAACAGCTGAGGGGAAGAGTTCCCGGAGAGGAAGATCGCCTCCCTGGAGCGCTCCGCAGTGTCAGGCGGAGCTGCGGAATCATCCCATCATGGGAGTTTTATGATTTTGGGGTACTCAAAGGTTTAGGGGTTTAGGGGTTTGGGGTCCTTAAGGGTTTAGGGTCCTTAGGGCTTTAGGGTTTAGAGGGCTCGGAGCCTCTGGGGCTTTTGGAGCTTTTGGGGCTTCAGGGTTTGAGGGTTTAGAGCTTTAGGCTTTAGGGCTTACAAAGGGGCGTGAGGGCTTTGGGGCTTGAGGCTTGTCGGGTTTTAGAGGTGTAGGGCTTAAGGGCTTTAGGGTTGGGCTGGATGTGTTTTTCGGGTCTAAGGGTTGGAGGGTTTTCAGGGTTTGGGCTTTTGGTGCAGGGCTGCTGGGCATTAGACCATTGAACTAGTGAAACCGCACCGGTATTGTGTAGATTGGCATTGCTAACTGTCTCATAAATTGCACTTTACTCACCAAACTTTAGTAAAATCAATCCTATTAGGTTTAGGCATTCGTTGAGTCTTGGCAAAAAAGCTACCCTAAACCCCAAACCCCTAAACCCGTAACTTGGACAACTACTCATTTCGTCTCACTTGCACTTATTGCCGGTTTCGCCACGGTGGATTTTCCCCGTCCCATCAGCTCCTGAGTCTCCGGCTTCTGCTTGGATGAAGGCAGTAAGGGTTGCCGAGGCATATTGCTATTATTAAAATTACTACTATTATTATTATTAATATTTTTTCATTATTCTTACTATGACTATTACTATTATTGTTAGTATTCGTCGTAGTAGTAGCAGTAGTAGTAGTAGTAGTAGTAGTAGTAGTATTCGTATTCGTATTCGTATTATTATTATTAGTAGTAGTAGTAGTAGTATTATTATTATCATTACTATGTGATGTGCCGCGCCATGCACTCGCCAGCCCACACATCCCACACGCTTCCCGTCCGAATCTTGTGTCTTCATGGCTTTGGGCAAAGCAGCGAGCGCATGTCGGAAGTCTGCATGCCACTCATGAAGGCGTTGTCCGGTGTGACTTGGAAGTTCCTTTCTGCTCCACATCGCCTACCTGACATTGGCCAGAGCTTGTCAGAGCGCCAGCATCGGTGCTGGTTCTGGTACAACGACACCGACCGAGGAGATCTTAGCAACATGCTCTCATCTTCTGCGTATCACGGCTTGGGCGCGAGCTTGGAGACTCTTCGCGACGAAATCCGCAGGTTGGGCGGGGTTGATGGTCTGCTTGGCTTCAGTCAGGGAGCCGTGTTAATCCATGCAGCAACGCATGATGAAGAAATACGAAGGCAAATCCAGTTTGCTATCCTCATTGGCGGGTTCCCGGCCAAGCCACTGTTGCGGCAACGGATTTGTCCTCAAATCCGCACTTTGAATGTCTTTGGTCGCCAGGACAGCCGAGTTCCAGCCAGATGCAGCGTGATGCTTGCAGCTAGGTATGCAGACTGTAATCTCTTCATGCACGCAGGCGGGCACGCAGTGCCTTCCAGCAAAGCCTTTCGGTCCATGCTCCAGGATTTTGTGCTGCAGCGCACACTGCAACAACCACAGACACGCGGCTTGCATGTTCTCCCCTTCGACTTGAAATTCCACTTTCTGTGCTCCGTGTTCACGCTGAAACTGGCAATGTGGGCACGACGTCTAGCAACCCTCCGCTGTGCTCGAACACCAAGCAGAAACACTTGACGTCCTAAGCTCCTGTTGTTTGAGAAGTCATGTGAGGTGTTGTACAGAGTGAAGCTTCGAATGACGGCGGCCAGCATGCCACATTCCAGCTGGATATCGCGCCCTGTGAAATGCAGACCACGCACGCACAACACAGATGGCTCTGTCGTAGTACTTGCTGATGAGTCGGTTTCCCTCATACATCAGCCGATAACTTCTGTTTTTTGGATAGTCTTCTTCCGCCTGCTGCGTACACGGCAGGTTTTGCAGCAATTGCAGACGTTCCTGACAAGCGAGTGCTCCTTGGCAGCATCAATTTAACAAGTCCATAGCAGCGGCGGATCCACTGTGGATTCATCGGCGGAAGCTTGTCCGGTTTCCTGTCTGTCAGTACACTCATAGGGCGCTGCCTCCAAACTTGCCACGACCAATTCCTGTGAGCGTCATGGTAAGCCAAAGCAGCGTGTCAAGGCAAGTGAAGTTCTACGACGGCCCGGCGCAGGACTGGCTCAAGCGTGCAAGCCGCGCCAAAAAGGGAGCGAGAGCAAGCGGGAGTGGAAGCGACTACGGAGAATGGTCTTCGGGCTTCAGACGCCAGGAGCCTCCCTCCTCGCATCCGTCCTCACCGGCTTCCGAGGACAGCATCACAGGCGCAAGACAGGAGCTGTCTGCAGCCGTGGGTGCGTTGCTGCCGAAGAGGTCAGACAACAAAGAGCTCGGAAGCGGACTTCCGTGCCGTCGTGCTTCTCAAGGCTCCAGGCAGGTAACTCGGTGCTGCGATGCTGCTGCGTTATTGGGCGAGTACTTGAAAACGGCAGGTGTGAAGGCTGCCTGGGCTTCTGCGACGCTCCAGAAGCTGATGGCAAATGCCGAGCGCTTCGGTCAGCTCATGGCAGACCCCAGGAACAAATTACAGCGTGTTTTCAATTGATGCCTCGACTGACTAGAACGACCAAGTCAGGCATTTCCGTAAGATGCTAAGCTTGAGGTATAAGCACTGAATTCAGAGAGCATATTGTTGAACCTAGGAAGTGCTGGGGAGCGTGCCCCAGATGTGGCTGCTTCTGATCAAAGAGGATGAGCCACTTAGGCTGCCAAGGCATGATCTCTTTTTCTGCATGAAAACACATGCAGCTCTCAGAACACTTGCACTGCCAAGGGCAAGTTAATACGTTCACGGTCTGCAAGCCCCGTGACTCCTCGTCTCTCATCTGGTCGGGAGGCTTGCACCTTAGGCCCTGAAGCACCTTTCTTTGCCTCCAGCCTGCATTGCATCCGTTGGGTCCGTCCGCCAAACCGCCTAAACCTTCAAGCCTAAACGTCATTCCCGAAACCTTGCGTCCTCTAGCGTTTCCGCTTTTGATTTACTGAGGCCATTCAGTATGATCCGGGCTGACCTGGAGGAGCACAGACGCATCTTTGGGGTCCAGAACAACGCACCCCAAATCATACCACATTGCACTGCGCTGTATCATTTGGTAATGTATGACTAAAATTATCGCTAAGGATCAAAGGGGGTGATTCTGCAGTATGGAACGCACTTTAACGGCTTGACATGATAGTCTCACACGCTCGTATGCACGTCATGAGACGAGGAAGGACAAGACACAAGACCCATTTCCGCGCTGCAGCGGCTGCGGTGCAGAATCATTGGGCATGGCAAGGCATGTTTATCTGGAGACGTGCCTTGATGTAACTATGCAGTTAAGATGGCGAAGAGGCAAGACTTGAATCACACCTAACCTAGAACAGGTCGTACGTGTGTCTGTCTATCAGTACATGTGGACACACATACATGCCTGCATAGCTTTCCACAGGCGCATGCTCCGGTGAACTTGGTAGAAGCAAACATTCACCATAAATATACGTACCATACGTGTATCGCCAAAGCACTGCCGCGAACATGTTCCTTCTTGCCCGAATGCCCGAATTTGCATGCGAGCTCCTGGGGGTCCCAGTCGCGATGCATGTCCTCCGGTAGGAGACGGACATCCCGCGCGACTCCGAGATTGTCGAAAGAGCAAGATCGAAGGCCGAGAACGGTGGCAGCTCGCTGTAGCACTCATCCCTAACCTGACGAAAGGCGATTATTTCCTCTTCTGGATACCAGAACAGTCTCGTCAGCATCAGCAGCACCGCTTCACCACCACCACCGCCACGACCACGACCATCATGCCCACCACCGGCACCATCGACATTATAGTCCACAGTCACCCTCAGTGTCATCACCGTCAATGCTGTTGTCTTCTTGTCTCTCCTCGTCATTGTCCTCATGATGTCAGGTTAACCAGAGGACTCCCAGCAAAGCATTGTGTGCAACACCACGACACCTCCAAAAGGATCACCCAAGAGTCGGTCTGGGAGTCTTGTTGGCATGACACTCTGCCCTGGCGAGGCCTCGGAACTGTCCGAGTTGCCACAGTAACTTGGCAAAAACCGAAGCATCTCACCCACCCGCTGGCTGACATCGGGCAAGTCGATTGCTGTGCATGGCAGCCGGTTTTTGGAATCCGAGGCCCATTGACACAGAATTCATTGAGCTCCGCAAGAATCTGATGTGGCAGGACCCTCAGCAAGCTCCTGGGACACGCAGTTCCCGAGATTGCAGCTTGGGAGAGCAGACGTTATCTCTGAAGCCTATGAGCCTATGGGGGTAGCCTGAAGGATGCGTCTGAGGTCGAGACCTCGCAGCATGCGATACACCTTCCACCACATTGGCGAGGCAAACGCAGCTCGAAAATTCCACTATCCATAGATGTCACTCACATCAGAAGCAGACACCCCGCTTCAGCTACAGGTGAATGCTCGTGCTATTGGAGAAGGCTTGGAGATGGCTTTCCAGGTGCATCCCAGCGAGAAGACGAGAGTTTCGAGCGACCGATTATGGGGTTTTGGGGTTTAGTGGTCTTGACTGTTTGGGATTAATGATTAAGCGTCACCATCCTACCAACTGGAGCCTGTCCTGATCCTAACTCGGGGTCTTCCACACGCAGTCCCCGGCTCGCTGCCGCCACGAAGAGTCAATTCGGTAGAGTTTTCTCAGCTTTCTCTCAGTCCACTGAGCTCTAAGCTGCGAGGCGCCGCATGCACAGATCGATCCGCCACATCTCGAGGAGAGCCCAGTTGAGGCGTTGATCTTGCGCTTCGGACGGTTTTTTTGTGCAGCCGAGACCAGGAGCTGAGCATCTGGGGCTGTGGCATCGGCGGCTTGGAAGAAGTCTTTACAGTACCTTGTTGGTCCGCTTCCGTGACATCCTCCAGTCACAAAGTGGCCCGAGAAGGCAATGGCGGTGCCGTGGCCTTTGCGAATGCCTTTGCGCTTGGATGTGGACGTAAGCTGCAGACCATCATCTTGGATGAGACTTGGCGGGTTTCATGCATCACGGCAGCTGACGCCATGCATCACTTTGTCCTCATCCGCACCAGGACAATGACATTGGTGCTGCAGGCAAGTCGTCGTGTCTGCAGCTATGAGAGATGGCAGCCTGAGAGATTGGCCCCTCCGGTCAGGTGCAACCGCACTGGGCGCTGGCCTTCAAAACTGCCCCGAGTTGAGGGACAGGGCAGCAGACCAGCCTTTGCATAACTGCGCGCTTGTTTCGGTCGAAGGCTCTCTGGACAAATCCGGGCCAAATGCCTACAACATGAATGGCTGATATGCATGCTGTGGTGCTGCACCATAAAGACATGGTCTCCTGCGACCTCGATAACACTTGTCCTCAGAACCTAACCCTGCGAGGAGTTAAGCCTTCCAAAGAATCCACTCGGAAAAGGTTTCGCATCACTCCTGTCAGGCGCATCTTTGGGTATGAGTGCACGGCATCAAGGGTTCCCTTAGTTCAGGCTTTCAGAAATGAAGGAAGCACCCCTTTTTGTCCGACATCTGACAGGCCTGGGTGAGACACTCAAAGTCTTGGATGCCTCAGAGGTGCGCGACCTACCTTTGTTTTCTTGCCTGCGATGCTGGTGTTTTCTCATCGGAGGCTAGCTTGGACGATGCCGCAGCACAGGCCATCGCTGCCGCTGTGCCGCGCTTCCCATTGCTCAGGCCGTCCCTGAATCAAAGGGTACAGCACAGACCGAGGGAGGTTTTTCTGCAGTGCAAACGGAGCGGCCTGGGGAAGAATCTCAAGCGACGGCCCGCGCACCAAATCTTCGCCTTGCAGGTCATTGAGGTTGGCCGGGAATGTCGCACCTGGGCAAGAAAGTCAGACTCTTCGGTGCTCCTTCCTTCTTCCAGCCATGGCACTTCGAGGATGAAACTACTTCGCGCAGCATAGCACGAGCGAGAAATGGCATCAAGTTTCGAAAACCACAGAGGCCTTGAGCCTGCTCGGAGTCGAAGCTGTTGTGCGATCGATGCTGCATGCGGGAGCCTCGTGTTCCAAGTGTTTGCCCGCTTGGTACTTTGGCTTTGTACAGCTAAGGTCAAAGATATTCAGCAAGTTGCGACGGCCCTGGCAGTTGCAGCCTGTTGAGACTCTCAAGTTCAGACGTGTTCATACTTTTACTGCACTACGAAAGCCACTTCCACCCCATGCTCTGCAACCGAGGATTTGCGTGGGTCTTCAGCGAAACTGGCAGTGGAGTGGCACAGGCCTGAACAAAAATTGGCCAGCATAAGCCAGCCGCGCTCCCCTCTTGTTGCCACGTGGCCTGGCACTAGTAGTCTGAATACTTGCCGAGCAGCACCTGGACTTCGGGTCACATCCTATGCAGAGTATGTGAGAGGCTGATGCAGCTCCTGGAGCGAGGCGGAATGGATCCTCGGAAGCTGCGCTTGTGACAGAAAAGGGGCTGCAGTGCGCAACTCTTTGACTCTTGACCGACCAGGCGTGCCACTGAGGAAGGAGGTGGAAGGTTGTAAGTGAGGGATACTGTACACTGTATTCTCTACAATCCCTACTACAATCAATCTGTACATATATATATATATGTGTATATATATGTATACATATGTAGGGCTCAGAACACGCCGAGAGGAGGCGATTGCTGAAGCCCCAGCACCCAATCGAGGTGCGTTCTGCTAGGACTGAGCCATCGTTGCCTCTCCTAGCTGGCATCGGCGTTTGCGCCTTAAAAGGTCTAAGACCAGGCGCTCCCTTCGGGAAGGCCGACATCCAGGCCTATACCACCTTCTTGGTCTGGCGAGACACCACGGCACAGCTCCTCACACGAGGGCCTCTCTTTTGAGACCCTACATGGGACGAGGAGGCCGCAACACGGGACAGCAGCCATGGTCTGGTGGTGGAAATGGGCTTCGTGTGTGGCCTGGTGCCTATTCTCCCCAGGGTCCGGCCAACAAGGACCGACGACCACCCTGGAAAGGAGATGGCCGGGGCCAGCAGGATTTCCCGGCGTACTCCTCGATACAGCTCCCGCAGGAACGGGCCGCCCCTCCTGGTACGGCGAGTGGAACCGCAGATGCGACTGGGGTCATGAACACCAACTCTATTCAGCATGCTCTCAACGCCACCCGCAAGGCCGAGACGAAGGTCTGCCGCTTGAGGGCAGCCTATCAGGACTTGAGTGTGAAGATGGCTGCATACGAGCAGAAGCTGAAAGAGGCCCTACGACGGGAGCGAGCTCGCTTTGCCAAAGACCAGGAACGGCTTCTGCGAGAAATAGCAGACGCCGAGTCTGCTCAAGAAGCGGCCAGGACAGGGCTGCGTGCAGCCTTTGCCGAGGAAAGGTCGGCAGCCCTTGGCGGCTACGATGTCGAAATGGGGGATCAGGATGTCGACCGCATTTTCGAAGAGTGGGCAAGGGAGGACAGCACAGCTATGGATGGCGTCCTTCGCAGAGCTCTTGCCCCAGCTACTGGGCATGCTTTGCCACCCGGGAGTTTCACCTCACCTGTCCGCACCAATGCAGCCCCGAGATCACCGCAGCCCGGGCCGATACCTGGGGGGACTGTCACGCCGCCGGCTACTGTGGACCCGTACCTGGGCATGGCATCTCCTTTCCATGCCCCTCCCGGCCTGGTTGCAAGCCCCCATCCGGGGCAGAACCCGGTTGCCCCTGGTCTGGCCACAGGACCAGTTCCTGGTTTGGTGGTGCCTGCTTCCGCAGCCCCTCCTGGCCCTGTGGAGACGCATGCCGGACCAGTGCTCGAAGACGATCCAACTGGATATGGCCCAAGCCCGACCTTAAGCGACAGGGTCAACCGTCGGCGTGCCTTGGAACCTTTTGGTGGGAGTACAAGGCCTCCGGATCCTGTGCCAGACAACCCCGAACGGGCTCGCGGGGTCAGCCTCGAAGCTGTACAGGCTGCTCTTGCTGCCGGACGTACTGTGAGAATTTTAGAGGACGACAACGAGGACGAGCTCGCCGATGCAAACACGAGCGGGACCCTCAGCTAGTGGCTGCTCCCCCAGGCGAAGACTGTCTTTGGCGCCTCCTTGACCTGCCCTCCCCCGGAATGCATTTGGGTATGCATGTCTGCGGGTGTGGCGGCGATGGCGGTAAGCTTCTGACTTGCTTTGCCTGGTTGGAGCAACCGGAGGTTTGTGAGAGACACTCTGTACAGTGGGCTGTACAGTCTTTCTCTGTGGAGGCCTCTTCCTTCCGTCCTGCGCTCTCCCTGCGTCCATGCCCATCCTCGGCCGGAGGCTGCCTGTCCCACCTTGCGCCTCTCCTCACTTTCCTGGCCACTTTGCAGAGGTCGCTGGCCTCCCCGCTCGGCTTTGGCGGGTCTCTGGCACACTTTTTGTTTCTTGGACTTCTGTCGTGACATGCCCATGTGGTTTTACGGGCTCAGTCACCTGGGCCAGTGCCTTTCTCGCCCGTCGGCGCTTTGCTTCTTCCATGCGGGCCGGCAAAGTTTTGCAGCTTCCTACGTTGAAACCGCTTCCCATGCCGGTTTTACTACGTCTGATGGGCTTTTTGGAGATACTCTGTACTCCCACGTGTTGAGCCATGAGTGCTCCACTATTCCGCGCCAGCGCAATTGCGCGCTCTTGGGGGTCCGTAGTGGTTTCAGGGGTTTTGTAGGGTGCGTAAGAGACAGATCGGTCGCTCTGGGCTGTCCGCCTACATTGTCCCGCGAGCCACTCGGACTCGCCATGCATGTCTGCCGGGCATTTTTTCCCATGCCCGGCACCACAACCATATCCCTCGCTGGTTTTATCCAAGGGTATGGGTTTTGCAGAACCCCCTTTTGTTGGGTTTCTTCTTTTAGGGGACCCCTAGTAGGGCGCGTAAGAGGCAGATCGGTCGCTCTGGGCTGCCCGCCTACTAGTACACCCTGTGCATTGCTTGTCCCTTGTGTGTCAGGGACGCAGCCGACCTGGGAGATCTCCGTATGGTTTCTCTCATGCGCTGACCAGGTCGTTGCTTTTTTCGTGACACTTCAGGCCCTGCTCTTGTTGGCGCTATGGAGACTGCTGGTGCGTGCTCTGCCGGGGCGATCCTCGCCGCTGTCACGGCTCCTGTCACTTCCATCCGCCTCTGCAACAGACGGCCTGGTTCTGCCCTTAGGGAGATGTAGGGTAGTTCAGGGTGTTCTCAGTCATCGTGGCAAAGGTGACAGGATGATGCGTCGTTCGTGCCCACCCGCGTTCGACACCAGCAGGTGTTCGTTCGGCCTTTCGTGGCTGCTGTTGGCCCTGGGCTTTGTTTCCTTGCCTGCTCAGGTCTGGGCAGCCCCAAAAGGACTGCATGAGGCGCTTTCTCACGCAGACCTCGTCATAGCAGCTCGAGATGCTTCTTTTGCTGATAGCAACCCTGAGCACCTTAACCACGACTCGGGCGACCGTGTCAACCCCTGGCGGCAAGTGGTTGCGCAGGTGCAGGCAGAATCTCTGTGCGAAGCGTATGGACCGGAGGTGTTTGGTGACTTCCCTGGCCTCGCTGCTGACCTTCAGCCCGCGAGCAGTGTGGTGTCGGCTGTCCTTGGAGAGGCAGCCCCTTCAGCTCGAGAAGACGCACCTACACGAGCACCCGCGCCCTTGGACCATGGCCCGCTAAGCGAAACTGGGCTGAACGCTTCAGAGGCTGAAACAACGGGGCCCGGGGTTGCCCTTGATGTGCCAGCTTTCGTTGCTGCTGCAGGATACAGAATTGTTAGCTGTACGGTGGGCGTGTCCTTCCCCTCATGCGTGGAAGCCTTGGAGCGCCAAGTGCGGACACATGCCGCCGGCCTGCTTGAGGAGAGTGGCGATCAGCTCGCTCCTGTTTACCCCCAGGTTGCTCCAGGCGTTGCGGCCTTTGTTGCTCATCCTCCGTGGTTCTCGGAGGCGAGGCTGGTGACTGCATTCCTCGATGCAAGGGCCATCAGAGGCCACGCCTTCGCAATTGTGCTGTCCTTCCCCACAACCGTGGAAGAGATCCAACGGGCTGCTGGCTTCTCCTCCGTTATAGCCCACGAGGTCTTTGTCTCGGGACATCCGAGCCCGTTGAGTCCAGGGTCTACTGTTGAGCTGCAAGCTGGCGCCCTCATTCGGCTTCTCCCAGTCGGTTCCAAGCCGTTATGGGCTGCGCCGTTGGCCTTTGCTCTCTGGCACCCTCACTATTGGCCTAGTGGGGTTCTGGTGCCTCGCACAAGGGAAGCCGCCTGCGCCCTTGTGCTGCATAGTTCGGGGAAGTATTTATACGACCGCTTCTGCAGTGATGACTGGGCTAATCAGAACGGCATTGCGGCGCTCGTGGGTGTTCCACTGGCTGAGGTGCGCATGCAGGCCGCAAATCCCCAAGAGATGTTGCCATACGTCTATCGAGGCTCCCCTGTTCGAGGAGTACTTGCGGTCGTTGAGAGAGGACAAGGCAGGGATGCACAAGGCAGAGCCACCCCGCATCTTGTTTTCCTCGACTCTCGACCACTGGGGTTTGATTTTAATTTTGTGGTCTGTGACAGCACCTCCCTCTCCATTGACTGGCTTCTGCAATACCTTCAGCAACCGCCACCGGCAGGTTGGCGCCTGGTTGTGAAGGGCGGCCAGAGACATGGAGGAATGATTGACTTCCACCCGGGTGAGGTCCTGGTCCTTGCCTTCCACCGTCGTGAATATGTGGGCGAGGAGCAGCCCGAGTCTGAACAAGGATTCTCGTCAGACCCGGAGCAGGACGACGATCCCAGTCATGACGAAGGCAATGAGTCAGATAGCTCCACACGCTCCCGATCTCGGGATCATAATTCTGCCCCTCGCTCGAAAAGCGAGGATCATTCTTACCAGGGGCTGCACACCCCGCCTGGAGGTGATACAACCGCTCTGTGCCAATGGGACGAGATTGAGGTCCAAGGTCTCAAGCAGGCGGTCGGCTGCAGCCGTTTCAGTGTCTTGGATATCCAGGTCCATGTTGGTGTCTCCAGCTGCGTCTCTAGTCTTCTCGCAAGGCTTGGCGTTCCAATCTCCACCTTGCGTGTCCCTGACTTGGCTGGGCTATGCCTAAGCATGTTTGGAGGCGCTGGTGAAACCGGCCATGAGCAGACCTTCCTCCCGGACCTGCGAGACCCAGGCGATCGATCACCGCGACGCCCGGACCCACCTAATTTTCTCGCGGTCCCACCGGATCAGGCCCCTGCGGTAGCGCAGCAAACTGTGAGAGCACGCTTTGTCCTTCTGGTTGAGGGCTACCGCCCAGAAAGCCGGTCCCCTGTGACATCGAAAGCGCCATGCAAGAACTCCAGACATACAGGCTGCCAGATGTCAAGCGCCTCTTCCCCAGATTGCTGCCTGTTCCATACCAGCCTGCCGCAGGCTTTGCTGTCTTCCTTGCAACCCCTCGTTGGCCGAAGTCAGAGGTGGAAGTCGTGCTTGATTGTAGAAACTTTTCAGGTCAAATTCACACTGCCTGTCTGCCTTCTGTGGCCAATTCTGCGCTGCTTCGTGCACGTGCTGGCATTGCGTGGTGGAGGAATGCTGAGGTTTGGATCGAGCCTTATGCCAGACCCATCCTGGAAAATGAAGTCTTCCGACTGTTTCCGGGGTCCGTGGTTGTCTTCTTGTTGGCTGATGCCCCCGCCCCCCAGCTCGGCGACCTGACAACTATGCTAAGGACGGCCGACTGTTGGGACCACCTGGAGCCCCTGCCTTTTCTCTTCGACCCTTCTGTGTGGGTCATGACCGATGAGGGAGCTTTTCGTTTCGCCATTGAGGGCGGTCGACCACGCAGATTCGTTCTGGCGCATGCCCTTGACTACGACCCATCGCGGTTAGTAGCTGTGGCACCCGAGCCACTGCTTCGGAACTTTTGTGATCAGGGTGCCACCACTGAGGCTGTGATTGTCGTTTCGCAGAATGTGCCTATGAATCGAGCCATAGGTACGGGGCTATGCGTGGTCGTCATTGACCAGAGACCCATTTTGCTCGGAGTCGCCTGGAAGCTCGTTACGAATGGCTTGTTTTCCATGGGGCGATATGTTGCCGAGCTCCCTAGACGATGCCCCGCAGGGTACCAGTTCGCCTTTTCTGGAGCCTTTCCCCTGCAGGGCACTGATTATCTCCGAGTTGCCGATGCAACCCGCCTGACCGTCGAATTTGTCGCAGTGCGGCCACCGCCACAGGATGGAAGTGATGACACTTCTGACTCAAGGCACACTGTCTACACCTTGAATTCGAATGACGATGGCAGCTCCAGCTATGACAGCGACTCTGATTCTTCTGAGCCAGGTCCACCTGCAGGGCCGCCGCCGCCCAGGCCCCTCACCAACCCCGGTCATTCCCACAGATGGGTCCAGGCAACGACCGTGTTCGCTGCCTGTGTTGTTCCTGCTGCGGCAAATCTACCATCTGAGGCCCAGTCACTCAGTCTTGTTGATTCTTGCTTGGTTCTTGCGATCATCAACCTCTGGGTGCTGGGTTTTATTTGTCGGGCCGTCACGGGTATTTTGCAGCAGCGCCTCCAGGTTACTAGCTGTAAATCAGCTGATGACCCTTCTATTGGCCAAGGTTCGCACTGGGCCCTCGATAATCTGTGTGCTGCCACTCGCCTCCTTCAGATTCCGTCTTTCGCCATGCCTAGGGACCTTGCCCGGTTACTTCAGGAGGAAGAGTTTGAAGGGGGCCTTGATGAACTTGGCACGCGTGACGTTGCGGTCACTTTTGCAATCCTGGCGCCGGCATACTCGCCCGAATTTGTCACGATAGTGTTGCAGCTACCCTGCACGTGGGGTGAAGCTGAAGCCCCCCTTTCTGATGCAAGGGCCACTGCTATGTGCGTTCGCTTCCCGCATGTGCGTCCTGTGGCACAGCAACACATTCCAGGCTTTGCAGTTCTACTCGCCGCACCGTGCTGGGACCCGCACGCCACTGTTGTATGCCTCAACTCTGCTACCTTCGATGGTCGTGTTTTTGCCGCATATGCCCCTTCCTATATGGACCATGACGGACTATGCTGGCTCGCCTCGATGCCATCTGGCATTGACTTCGACGTCTTTGTCGACGGTGATGACCAGCCTCTTGAGCGAGGACCAGAGGTCCATTTAACCCAAGGAATGCAGATCATTTTTGTTGAGGCAGGTCAGGTGCCAGCAGCGGGCAATGCGCTTCACCGGATGCTCCTCATGCCAGCATTTTGGGAAGAAGTCGCTTCTTTCCCCGCACCCGATCTCCCCGATTCCTACTGCATTGCCACGGCCTCCCATCATGCCCTCTGTGCATGTGACTTTGGACGTCCCTGGAGGCTGAAAAGGCATATAGCTAGTGTGATCGGCTTGAACCGCTCTGACTTCCACATCCTGCCGTCCGCGCCACCGGTAAGGGATATTGCCGTTGACGGTGTCAAGTGTAGGACTCTCCTAGCAGCATGCAATTGTGGGAGACAAGAAGCCAATTGCCAGGCTTTCTTCCTTGATATGCGACCAATTCGAGAAGGGTTAAGACTTAGGTTCTGCCATGGTTTTGCCCTTGACCTCGAGGGGTTGATCGATACGTTGTCGACTGCCGCCCCGCCGGGCTGGCAGGCCCAAATTGCTGATTCCCCTGTGGCCCTTGGGGGCCGAGTTTTCCTGGAACCGGGAACAGTTATGACGGTCGACTTTGTCCCTGCACTCAGCCCTGCTGATGCTGTCGCCCCCGATCGGCAACCCAATGACAATTCTGCCCCCTCAGAGGTTCCCAGTTCGGGCACAGGCACGATTGATACCCACGAAAGCTCGACAAGCCAGGATGCGAGTTCGGGTCCAGCGCCTGCTACCACAGAGAGCAACTCTGACGAGCTCGATGAGGCGACCGGCCCTGATATGCGGGCCAGAGCTTTTGTTGTTCTAGGCCAGGACTATGCTCCTGAGCTGATCCAAATTGCGCTGCCTGTCCCGACACGTGTTCCAGATGCCCTGGCACGCGTCTCGAGTGCGCGTAAACCTCGAGACCGTTTTTGCTTGCCTTACCTCATGCCCGTGGTTCCCCAGCCTTCCGGGAATCATGCACTCCTGCTGGCCCTTCCACCTTGGCCGGTGGACGGTGCCTACATCGCGTGTGACCTTAGCGCTCATGACGGACGGACTTTCGCCCTCCAATTAGGAGGACGAATCGATAGAGCAGGACTTCTTGTGGCAGTAGGGATTGCTGACGGCAATGGCATTGAAATCTATATCAGAGACATGCCCTGGCCACTGCCTGATGGGGTTGTAGTTGAGCTCGGGCACGGTGACCTTGTGCAATTTGTGCCCGAACACCAATCTGTAGCTGTGGTCGCCACACTGGCAGACATGCTTGCCTCTCCCACCCACTGGAGGTATATTGCCCCCACTCTCAATGTTTTCATTGGGGACACGTGGGTTGTGCACGATACGGGTGCTTTCCGCCACCAGGTCAGGCCGGAGAGACGTAGCTTTAGCAGACAGGACATCGCTGCCAGACTCGGCATCTTGCCGACCGACCTCGTTATTCAGATGCCCCAACCACGAATCCATGACTTCTGGCGCCGGGGCCAGCCCACAATGCACGTGATGTATGCCATTTGGGCTCCGGGGTGTTCCACTGCGGGGGACTTCAGTGAGGCCGTTTGCTTCGTTGATCTCCGGCCCGTGCTCTGTGGACTCTACGTCGCCCGTTGCCCGGACTACCGTTTCGACGTCTGCGACCTTCTGACTCGATTTGCCAGACGGTGCCCAGTCGGTCTCCAGGTGCAGGCTGAAAGGCGAGGCGCACTGCTTCCACCTTACGAACGTGCCCTGCCCGTCAGCAACGGGGACGTCATCACTGTTTTCGTCCTACCCGAGACGCTGGCTCGAGAATGGGGACAAGGTGGTGGGGGACCGCCCGGACAGCCCCCGCCTCCCGACCAGTCAGGGCCTAGCGATCCCAGGAACAGTGGCTCTGACACAGTTGCATCTGCACCCCCCCTACCAATCGGCCGGATGTTGTCGCGCCAGTGTCCAGTACAGGCGGTTCTGGCTCCTGTCAGCTGAGTTCAAGATGTCTAAGGTTGACACCTCGCCGTCACAGCAGCGGCCGTGGGCCGTGGATGGCTTTTCATGCTTTCGATCGCCTGCTGGCCCGCCTGTGCCATGGCAGGTCCTTGCAGTAGGGGAGGTGATTGTGCTGGCCCGCGCCCCACTCTGGGAAGTGCGTGCTATAAAACGCCGGGGGGAAAGAGTGGTCCAGGCTATAGCAGTCGTGAAAGCCAAAGGCCCCTACCCACGCCTTGTCGTGCACCGAGTGCTGCTTCATCCCGGCGCCTTTACATCTCCACCGGGCCCACCCTACTTGAGCAATCTGTCACACAGACGCAAGGGCGTGCATTTTGGGAAGCCTACACGTTGCTCGGTGCACTGCTAGAGCACTTCAGTCCCGGGAATACCGGCACCCCAGGACCTCACCGATTGAGTTTACGTGGTGCCGTCTGTAGCCCCGCCAGCAGGTATGACATCCGGGAGGTTTTTGTTCTAGCTGGTGTGCATTGGCAGCCCCTCTCCCTTCCCGCACCGACCCCTCAAGAAAGCCATTGCCAGACTGGGCCTATTGCCCTGGGGGGATTGAGTATGCCTTTTACCTTCGAGGATCTTAGGAACTTGATAAATCGGCCATGCTCTCTAGCCTCGCCAGGTCAGGCCCTGCGAAGCACATCAGGGCCCGATGCTGCCAAGCTTTTTCTTAGCACGGCAGACACCCTAAGTTTCACAGGGTACGGTTTGCATTGCTTTACCGATGGTTCCTTTACTGCGCCGCGAGGCAATGGCCAGGCCAAACTTGGATGGGCCTGCGTTTTCGTAGAGCCTGGGGGTCCGTGCTTCGGGGTTCTTTCTGGGGGCAGGCCTGCCTGGATGCCAGAGGAGACTGAGCCCTCCTCCGCCTTTGTCGGCGAGTGTCTCGCACTCGTCGCCGCCTTGCGTGTCTGTGGTACAGTGCTGCGGCACAGGCAGGTCACCATTTGTGTCGACTGCACAGCCGCACTTGGCATTGCCGCGGGCAGGACCGCCGGCATTGGCGATGGCATCGCAAGTGTCCTCCGATGCATGAGCTCCTTCGCCAGGGCAACTGCCGAGACCCCTCCTGCATTTGTACATGTTCGAGGGCACCAAGGCTCCCTATTCAATGAAGTTGCTGATGTCACTGCTAAGTCCGCAGCAAAAGGGGAAACACTCGGCGGTTGGGATGCCGAAGGCGAAATCCCACCCTTGTGGTGGAACAACGGGGCTAGAGCCCTTGACTGGGCAGGCTTGATCCACCAATGCCTACGCAGCAACCCATGCCTGCCTGCTTGTGGACAGGCCCTCGCTGCGTGTGACGGCTCTGCTGGTTTATCGCCGTTTCAATGCATAGAGCCCTTTCTTCCTTTCTGCCCGGGCCCAAGGCATACCAAAAGCGAAGTCGGCACTCTGCAGCTCACCTTGGCCACCTACAATGTACTCTCCCTGTGTGGGCGATCCTTCACTGACAACCGACATGCCGGGCTCGCCTTTGCCCCGGCAAGGCCTGCCATTTTAGCCTCTGCTCTCCACTCTTGCGGAGTGACGGTTGCGGGGCTTCAAGAAGCCCGTACAGAGGAGGGCACTCTGCACACAGATGGATTTACGCGCTTCTGCTCAGGCGCTGAGAGAGGCCAATTTGGAGTTGAACTGTGGGTCAAAACCAACTTCAGGGTTGTGAACGGGGATGAGGATTCTTCCGCTGCAATTTCCTTTAGCCCTAGTGCTTTCACGGTCCTTCATAAGGACCCGAGGAGAATCTTGGTGCTCTTCACGGCAGCCAGTCTACGAGTCCTTTTTGCATCCTTACATGCCCCACACAGGGGTGCTGAGGCCCCTATTCTTCTCGCATGGTGGGCCGAGACCAAACGGCTACTTGCAAAATTTGCCTCCAAAGGGGTAGTATACCTCCTCGGCGATTTCAATGCCGCAGTCGGATCCCTCACTTCCCGGTCCGTTGGAGATACGGATGCCGATGTGCAGGATGTTGCTGGGGATCACTTGCACGACCTCCTGCACCGGCTTTCTCTATGGCTGCCTTCCACCTTTCAAGGGGTTCATTCCGGACCCAGTGGCACATACGTGCAGAAACATAACCAAGCAGAAAGTAGGAATGACTTCATTGCCATTCCTGACTGCCTAGACCAATGCTGTATTCGATCATGGGTTGAACCCCGTATCCACGCGGGGCAGCCAGTGATTGACCACATTGCGGCTTTGGTCAGCATTACAGCACGCGTCACGCTCGGACCTGGTGGGACCCCGCAGAGGCGAGCGAAGATTGACGCAAGATTCCTGAGCACGCCGGAAGGGAGCGCGCAAGCAGCTGAGATCCTTGCCCGCGTGCCTAGTGTTCCGTGGGAAGTTGGGCCAGACGCGCATGCTGCGCTACTTGTGTCCCATCTGCAAAAAGGCCTCACGCAAAGCCCACCAGCTAAGGCATCCCGCCCCCGTCATCCATATCTCTCGCAATCCACGTGGGACCTGCAGCGGGCTGTCTCTGGCTTTCGTCGGCAGCTCGCGAGATTGCGTTGTGCAGTCAGGTTCCATGAACTTGCGGCTGCCTTCGCGTCACTTCGCTGTGGACACGGTGGCCCTCTCAGAGGCATGTGGTGCTCCAAATGGGCGCAGAGGGCTGACGCGACCCGTGTTCGTCTAGAACGCTGTCTATCTGATGCGTCCAAGGACCTTAGGAAAGGCTGCAAAGCAGATAGGGCGGCGTACCTGAGCACCCTGGCCGACTCCGTTGATGGGGGGGGCCACGATGCTCATGATGATCTACGCAAACTATTGTGCAAGCGAAAGGCCCTTTGCCCCAGACGTCCTCCCGCAGCTTCTCGACGAAAATGGCCAGCTGTGTGATGACAGCGCCGACACCATTGCAAGATGGAGGCGGCACTTTAGCCAGTTGGAAGGGGGTAAGACCATGAGACCTGCTGAAATCGCTCAGTTGGACCCACCACCGGTCCCATATGGAATCGACATCCCGATCGAGGACTTCCCGGCCCCCTCTGACCTCTTGTGTGCAATCTTGCGTGCCAAGACTGGCAAGGCTTGTGGACCGGATGGTATCCCAGCTGAGCTGGGACGTGCCCAACCTACGGCCCTGCAGCAGTTGTTACTTCCCTTGTTCCTCAAAATCGGTCTCTTGTGCAGGGAGCCACTAGGACTCAAGTCGGGGATTCTTACTTGGCTCTACAAAGGACGTGGGTCCAAGGTCGATTGTGGGTCGTATAGGGCAATAATGCTCCTCTCGGTTGTTGCCAAGACGTTCCACCGTGCATTCCGGCCGGCCATTTACCGCTTTTTTGCACAGCACTCATTACCGATCCAACTCGGTGGCAAAAAGAATGCGACAGTGCTATACGGGTCGCATATTAGCCGGGCCTACGTAAGCCATGTCGACTGTCATCCTCTTCGCGGACGTATCGGCGGCATACTACAGTGCCGTGCGGGCCCTCACGGCACGGAGGGACAATGACGATGGAGCCGACCAGCACCGCCACCATGACCCAGATGTCCAGCTCCAGCTGGAAAAGCCGAGTGCGCTCAGCAGGGGCGGTGCGACGGAATGGCTACAGGCGTTGACGCATGATTTCAACGACAGAACCTGGATGACACTCAATACGGACGACACCCCTGTGCTGACGACCCAAGGATCCAGGCCAGGTTCGTCGGTTCGTCATGGGCGGATCTATTTTTCGGGGTGACTGTACCAGGCATTCTGGCCGTCCGGGACCAGATGAGGCTTGAGTCTCCGAGGCAAGCCTCACAAGTCGCTGTCGCATGGGATGGCTGGCGAGGCTTCTTCGATCCTCCGCCAGGAGAGGCTCCACCCCCGGCATCTGCACAGTTGGAAGACGTTGTGTGGGCAGATGATTTGGCCTCGTACTTGGGGATCTCACGGCCAGCTGATGCTGCATCCTTGATAGGTTTGGAAGCCTCTTTCCTGAACGATTCCTTCCGAAGTTACGGATACTCGCTTTCGTTCGGAGCGGCGAAGACTGCAGCTGTTGTGCAGCTGAGAGGACAGGGAGCACGGGAGGCCAGGAGAAGATTGTTCTCCTTGAAGAAGGGAATTCCGGTTTTGTCTGAGACTGGCCCCTCCGAGCATCTTCCGCTCGTGCCTGCCTACAAACACCTGGGTGTGCGGATCACCGCCAACAACAGTCTGCTCCCTGAGATCAAACAAAGGGTGGCCGCTGCCTGGGTCGCCTTCCGTCAGGGGAAGACTAAAGTCTTCCGATCAAAAAGGATCAGCCTCGCCCGAAAGGGCGCCATTCTGTCCTCTCATGTGTTGTCTAAGTTGACCTTTGGCTCGGGTGCTTGGGGTCCACTCAAGCAGGGCGAAATGACTCTGTTCGCCCGAACCGTTGTCTCTATGTATCGTCAGTGCCTTGGACTTGCCTTTGCAGATGACCAGCACATCACGACTGCCACTATCTGCGCACTCCTGCGTCAAGCCGACCCCACTACCCTGCTGTGGTCAGAGCGCCTTCGCTATGCCAGACAACTTGTCTCAAACGGACCTGACGTCCTGTGGGCTCTTCTGCGAGGGGATTCCGAGTTCATGGCAGGCATGCGGGAAGCTTTCGGCTGGCTTTTTGGTTGGATTTGTGAGACCGTGCAATTGCCAGATCCCGCGCTAGCTTGGCAGCCGTGGGTACATTTGATGACTTCACGACCAGGCAGGTTCCGGGGGTTGGTCAAACGAGCGAAAGCTCTGGAATCCATAAGGGTCGCTTGTTTTGCGGCTTTACAGGCTCTACTGCGGTCCCTGGCCCAGTGTGGAGGCTCCGTGCCTGACACTAGCCGGAATGACCCGGAACGGCCGGAGCAGTATCAGGAGGCCTGCCTGATCTGTCGTGTGGCCTTCCCTTCTCGGGCCTCGTGGGCTGTGCATGCTGCAAAAAAGCATGGCTACCGTGCGCCAGCTACACTTCTGTCACAAGGCCAGGAAAAACCGCTGTGCTTGGGCTGTGGCAGGCTTTATGCCAACCTTCATCGTCTTCGCAGGCACCTGCTGCATTCTCAATCCTGTCGAGTTGGCTGGGGCAGCTTTCACCCCACCGGGACGGTGGATGGCGACATCCATTCACAGCTGCCACCACTGCAAATTGCCGGCTTCGAGTGCCCTGAGGTCAGGCCGGACCCGGTCTACACCCACCCTGGGGTTGTAGCAGCACTCCGGGCACTTGAGACACCCGACGCCGATAGTGTCTGGCACACACTCTTGGACTTTGCGGAACCTTTGTCGGTCTTACAACGCTCCCTTCGGGATTGGGCTTCGCACCCTGAGGCTCATCCCTCAGCCGGCAGTATCGTTGAAGATGCCTGCCTCCTCCTTGACCCTGAGCTGCGGTGCGAGGATTTCCGGAAAGGGAAGCGGAGCCCGCAAGGCTTTGCCGCATGTGTCGACCTTCATTGCCCGGCCGAGTGCAGGCTCAATTTTGTTCTGACTGGGGTGCCTGCTGTGTTCAAGGTTGATGACCCTCCGCTCTCGGAGTTTGTGTATCCCTTCCGTCACAGCATCCCACTTGCTGCAGCTCGCCGTCACTTGGACTGGCTTGAGCAGGCTTGTGACACCTTCAGTGCCTTTCTTGC